AAATACTAAACAACCTGCTTCCATGGCCGAGATACAGGGCGCCCATATTATAAGGTAAGGTTATAAAACCACCATTTAAGATCATTTTAGTGAAAGTTTCATGTTCCTATCTCATAGAATTTAAGAACAATGATGAATAAATAATTTTCGAGCAAAATTTAAATGGCCGGCTGAATATATTACCGCAGGAGCCGCGGCCGCGGAATTTAAATGACCACGTCAAAGGGTTAAGAACAGCTTATGAACCACATCCTGAATCTAAAAGCGTCACTTTTGGGGAAAAGAGTGCAACTTATATTTGGGCATATGTGTTAGTATAGAACTAAGTCAGATGAGTAGTTACTATAGGATTCTGACGATGGTGTATAACACATAGAGATATTGGGTTTTCAGACTTTATCCATCGTCCTGGTTTTAAGATAACTAAGAAAAACATGACGTTTCGGAAACTGGATCTGTTTCTGTCCTCAGGTGAGGGAAAACACCTATTCTGTTGGGTCCCTTAGAAATCACTGGACCTAGCTCTAGAATGAGGCTAGCTCTTTGTAAGGGACCCAACAGAATAGGTGTTTTCCCTCACCTGAGGACAGAAACAGATCCAGTTTCCGAAACGTCATGTTTTTCTTAGTTATCTTAAAACCAGGACGATGGACAAAGTCCGAAAACCCAGTATCTCTATAAGTCATATGAGTCAGAATAGTGCAGTCATCATAGAAACTGGCTATGGGCTGGACGGCCAAGGAGTCGGAGTTCAAGTCTTGGTAGGCGTGAGATTTTTCTCCTCTCCACATCATTCAGAGTGCCTCTTGAGCCCATCCAGGCTCCTATCGAATGGGTATCGGGCTCTTTCCCTGGGGGTGAAGCTGACCATTTGCCTCCAACTAGTGCCAAGGTCAAGAATACTTGGATCTATACATCGAGTCCTCCATGAACCTTCCTGGCATAGAGTTAAGCACAGGGACAACTTTGCCTTCTCTTCTCTAGAACTAAATCAGATGAGAATGTTTTGCTGTACTGTTGCAGGTGTTGAGAAAGTGATTACAGTGACGAAACATGAGTGTAAACCTGAAGAGTTTGAGTGCCGGCCGGGAAGCTGTATACCAGTCAAATGGAAATGTGACGGGCAGAAGGTAAAGCATGTATCCGTTTACTGGTTTTGATGTTGTTGGAAATGGAAACTTATAATCATTGCAGTTGTTTTGTTCATAGTGTATGCAGTAAAAGTCCATTAAATGTTTCTTTTGTACACTAAACTGAGTAAAATCTGAAATGGGAGTTATTGAACACTATGATTATTGACTTGGGATTGTTAAAGTTGAACATTATAGCAAGTGTCACGTAACTTTGAACAAGGCCAAGAGTAATCTTGAATGCGCAGAAGAAAAATTTCAGACAAGGGGGTACGTTCGAGGGTGTGAGAAGTGGAAGAACGAGTGTTAAGAAATTCCTCCCACCACAAGCTATGCTTGGGTTTTGACTAGGAATGTGGGGCCTTGTTCGAATTTACGTGACACTGTCTATAAGTCAGAAGAGACCTTATATCAAGGAACCTTAGATGGAGGTTCCACTGTGACGTGTTGACTGGCTCTGTCAGTGTGTTGCAAGGTGAGAATATAAGTAATATCAAATTGTAGCATCCTGTTGCACTTTTCACTTAGTGTTTTTAATTAATTCTGCAGTCTTATATGCAACAGTTTATTGAAACTTAATAAAAGCTAGTCACTTTAAAAGTTTTCATGACATGTTTCAGCCGAATTGGTCATCATCAGGTGTTAAAAGTTGTGGTTGAGGAAACAGTTGTCTTTCTGCGTTGATGTTTATTTGTTGATATATGGTTCCCCTAGTGTGCATTCTTCCATGTCGTGTTATGTACTCCATCATATTATGTTCCTTGTCTTGATTCCAACTGCAGTTGGAAACTTTTAAAGTGACCAGCTTTTATTAAGTTTTAATAAATTGTTGCAGTTAAGAATTAATTAAAGACTCTGACATTATGAGTGTCCACCATAACTAAACAACTAAGAAAGGATCTGTCAGACTGAACATTGCAGTCAGTTGGGTAACACTCCTGCTTTGTATCTGGGAGGTTTGAGGCTCAAACCTCAGCCCAGAGGTTGGCTGTTCCAATTAACTCAGTCCCTACAGGAAAATTATGGGATAGCACCCCAATTGAGGATATGGCCACTCCCTGTTACATCTTCGCTAATTAATTGTGTACTGTCATCTCATAATTCAACACTGCAATCAGAGTTGTTGCAGTGTCATTAAATAAACAATAAAATAAAGACACGCAGATCTGTGAGGCATGGTTGAAGATACTGTACTGATATTCACTGGGAGGGACAGAGCGGATCCTACACTCATGGCAGCCAGCATTTGAATCACATATTTGCTGAATATAAATGAGAAGTAATGTTGCTTGAGCCAGCCTTCCTGTCATGAGTTCTTATCAAGGAAGTTGTTGGAATATTAGGCATATGTTACAACCATTTCATGAATTTTTGAGGTGAGTAATCAGGTCAAGAAATGAGAATTTGAATTTGTAAGATGAAGAATTTCCTTCAACCCCAAGCACATTTTATAACAGAATTAATTTAATGTTTGAGTTTAAGAATAGCGTACATCCATAAATGTCAGTGTTATTAAAAAAGATTGCGTGTTTTGTATGAAATATGTTTTGGGTCTTGTTGTGTTGAAACAGTCAAGGAGAATGATAGGTGTATGTTATGTAGCATGCATTTGAGATTTGCAAAATATGTATCAACTTCTGGTTGTTAGAAAACAAAGGGAGGAGGCAGTGTGGGAGACCTATACATACATATGCAAGTGGATGTTAAGCAAATAGGATGTAAGGGTAGGACTGTGTTCATCTCAGTTAAGATAGAATCTTCTATATGGCTGTTGTGAACATGGTAAAGACACTTTGGGCTCTAATTTGAACAATACTGTACTTCAAAATCCCTGAGCAAGTTAATATCCATTCAGCTGGGTTATGAAATTCCCAGTGTTCTGCTCCCAGAAATACACAGTGCCAATGTCAAATGCTTCTAGTGGTTATGTTAGGAGTCATATTACTGCTCTGTTCTGCTCTCTCCGAATGCAACAATGAGCTGGAACAGATCATGCACATTTTTCATGTACTAGAAGTGGAAAGGAATTAAGCAGAAAGCAAAACTGTGTTGTCTTCATAAATCCTTGATCTGATCTTGTCCAGGACTGTTCCAACGGCCTTGATGAACGTTACTGTGAAGATGGCTTCGAAGATGTATCGAAACATTCCAACCACCGTCTTGAGCACCATGACAAAGAGAAATGGTTGCAGACAGATGCCAGAAAATGTGCTCAGTATTGTCGTAAAGCCAAGGAGTTTGTCTGCCGATCCTTCAGTCACCGGTAAGCATTTCACATTCCGTTCTGGATATTATACTTACTTACTGCTTGGCCCCGCATTTCTGTTAAGAACCTTGGCCTCCGTCACGACAGATTCCCACTCTTTATTTGATTTTTTCCCCCATATCCTCACTTGCAGCTGTCATAAATCATTCTCTACATCCTCCAGTCATCTCAGTCTGGGCCTTTCAATGTTTGTACTTAATTTTAAAAATCTTCATAGACACTCTTTTTAAATCCATTCTAATCTCATGCCACAACCATTCCAAATTCAGATGGAAATTATGACTGTTACTCTTCAGAGTAATACATGGTTTGGGTTGGGGTGCTGGGCTTAGGAAGATTCTATAGGGTGATTAAATCAAGGATATGGAAATGAGTTGAACATTTAGCATGCATACGGGGATGGAAAGTGTACACATGCATGTCTTTGTGGAAGGATGAAATGTTACCGGGTTGTCTAATTTCTGTTGAATTATGGGTAACATACAGCTGGCTGGCATTTGTCTTCACTAGTCATGAAAGAGTTAAGGGTTTGTTGGTTTCAACAGGGAACAAGATTCAGTGTGTCTTCTTAGTGACAGTAACATTGGCTTATCAGGAAATCTTGTGGAGGAAGAAGGTTGGGACTACTACGAGGTTAAGTTGCTGTCACTGAAGTGTGATGCCAAGTTCCAGTGCGGTAATGGGAAATGCATCAACATGAGCCTCGTAAGTCTGACTCAATTTAGCATTTCGTTTGTTTGCTTATGGAAATTTACTTCAGTTTATGTAGTAACCCCTCAAGCCAGTATCCTGAGGATATATTTGCAAGACTGTGAGACAGCTATGTGCGGCGGCCTGAGTATGTCCTCCCTGACTGCAAGCTCACAGAAAAGTGGTCATTGCTCTGCCTGCTCTTAGCAGGGACTCAAACTGACTGAAGTGATATACCTCTAAAGATCGTAGTCCTCACTGTCTTAGTTGTTCCTTCTGACAGATTTCATAGCAGTTACAAGGAATGCTTTTCGACCTTCTGATTAGCTGCTTAAGGCATCACATGGCTTGGAAATGAGTAATATAATACGATGCTTCAAGGTTTAGACTATTTATAATGCCTCCTCAAAATTTTATAAAATTTACTTCAGTATTTTGAATTGTCTCATTCTGGTCCACTGCACTATTAAGTTAGAAAGTTAATAGAATTTTCTGTCCAGTGCAGCAATAGAGGTCACATCACTTTTATTATTCTTGCCTTACATGTTTCAGTATAATTAAAACCATCATCAGAGGCACTTTTCATATGGCAGGAGACACTGTTAATTAAGTTGGTTTGATGTTCACTTTCACTTGTGTTATTCACAGATGTATGTTTCGTATTATTGTCAAAGGTTTTAGTTATGACGGCACTCGTTATCATATAAAAACATAAACATGCAGAATAATTGAGTATGCCAATAGGCTATACACAGCACAGGAATTATCACTTTTCCCACAGTAGATTTCTTATGTTTGGATTAATCACTATTAAACTATTTAAAATTTAATTCAAAGGACGCAGCACACATGTAACATCATAACACATATAAGCCCACACACCACCAAGAATGATGACTCCCATCCACGGGAAGAATTGACAACCAAGAACGACCTACGACAATTTGAATTAAATTTTAAGTAGTTTAATAGTGATTAATCCAAACGTAAGAAATCTACTGTGGGAAAAGTGATAATTCCTGTGCTGCGTATAGCCTATTGGCATACTCAATTATTCTGCATGTTTATGTTTTTATACGACGAGTGCCGTCATAACTAAAACCTATGACAATAATACGAAACGTACATCTGTGAATAACACAAGTGAAAGTGAACATCAAACCAACTTAATTAACAGTGTCTCCTGCCATATGAAAAGTGCCTCTGATGATGGTTTTAATTAAACTGAAACATGTAAGGCAAGAATAATAAAAGTGATGTGACCTCTATTGCCGCACTGGTTGGAAAATTCTATTAACTTTCTAACTTTTTACTTCAGTAATTTCTGAAATATATAATATTGAAAAGTTCTGTGAGAAGTGTCTGGTACAGGGCTATTTAAATACCAGTGCAGGGTACAAGTAGTGGGGGTTGAAGCGCCAGCTTGAGGGGTTAACACAGTCACTGCCACTGAGAATCAGCTGGCCCAGTCTTTTGTCTATGCTAACTATATTTTGAGATTACTGCATTTGAATTGGGATAGGACAAGTGAAAAATATGAAGAAAGCAGTCTTTTGGGATTTGGCACCGTGTATATGTGGTGTTAACTGAAGTTCCTCCGAAACGTCGGTTAACACCACATATACACGGTGCCAAATCCCAAAAGACTGCTTTCTTCATAGTCACCGCCGTGAAAGCCTCAAATCCTACAAAGTGAAAAATAATTTACACTCACTTTGTATTTTGATTTCTTAAATCTTTAGCAAACTATGCCTGAAGTTTCTCTGTATCTGTTGGAGAAAATTACATTTATATACAGAGTGACAGGTATCTGCCACTTGACAGGATGGGCACTGTCATGCTATTGGCTCCAACTCATCAGGCTGTGGAATTGGCAGTGAAAAGCAAAATGTAGGTGGCAGTTTCTGTATGTGTGGCATAGGTTTTTGTGATGGTAAAGTTTTGTGACATTGTGTAGTTTTGTGGGTGGTTCTGTCCAGAAGATGGTCACAGTTGAGTTGATCCAAAATGTCTGCAACTGTACACAGAACTACATAACATTACATTTCTTTCACATATTGGCTTCAAGTTATTTGTCTGAATATGAAACAATGCAAAATAATTATTGCGTGAAATAACACATTAAATCTCAGGTTTCAGTCTGTCTGAGTAAGACAGGGAGTGAGATATATTGAATATGAACCATCAATTTGTATGCTGTTTGGAGCAAACTGTATGTACCTATTAATAATGTTGTATTTTAGCGTCCTGTTGCACTGATTCGCATCCATGATGTGTATGTATTAACCGTCTTCTAGTGCGCACAATCTCACTTGTCACTTCACTACATGTTTCGGCATTGTTAGAACACACGCAGCCACAAAAGGAGGACACATCACAAGACACAGTATACACAAAATATAAGAAGAATGACTCCCATAGCGGAAGAATGATATAATACGCGAGTTTGAATTACGATGTATAAGATGATAAATCTTAACAAATTTTAATATATAAATTTTATTATAGTACATGACGAATATACTTTTTAAATCATTTTATAAACGACACATGATGGCGAGCAGTGCAATAGTTTAACGTAAATAACACACCTGAGGATGGCACAGTGATGCCGAAACATGTAGTGAAGTGTGACAAGTGAGATTGTGTGCACTAGAAGACGGTCAATACATACACATCATGTGTGTACCTGTCAACAGTTAATGGTTTCTTGCAGGTGTGCAATGGCAGGAATGACTGTGGAGACAGATCAGACGAGAAGAACTGCTCTGCAGCGTATCTTGATTATGCCATCCGCCTGGCAGGAAGTAATGTCTCCAATGAGGGTCGTGTTGAAGCCAGAGGTGAGTAATATGTCAAGAACAGAAATTCTGCCTCCCCACTGTGCCAGTTGTTCTCTGCCTCCCCATCCAGTTCGAGAATTAGGCCAATGGCCTGTTCCAGCTTCTATGTGAGTTTAGGCTCCTGATCAGTGTATTCAGATTTGCTTCTGTTTAGACTCTACAATGAATGTGAATAGTTCAGACACTAAAGCTGCTGGCTAAAGATGTTAATTTCCAGCGTGGACTGACAGTCTTGGCATGTTCGCTATGAAAAATTTAAAAAATATCTCTGTTAGCTTCACTGTGGGTGTCTGTGCATACGTAACACATTGACAACCACTGAATGCATTTTTATTAAATTTGATATAAGGGAGTTATACTAAAACCTTCACGTTATGTTTAAAATCATATGGCAGTGCCAGACATTTTACGTGAAGAGCTAAATGAGTATGTTTCAATCAAAATTTTTAGCAGAAATTGAACACATGTTTTATGTCCAAAGCTTTTTCTGTAAGTCTTACAGTTTTCAAGATATTTAGTCAAAATGGAGCAAATATGCCAGAATTATTATCCTGTGCTTGGATTTCATGACATGTTCTTTTGATTTCCACATCCAGACTGGCTCTAGAGGTGCTGGGGGCAGTTTAGCCATGAGTAAAGTGGCAAGATGTGAAGCTGACAGTTCATATCCATCCAGTGCTGAAGTCTAAGCTTGTGGGATGCCACCTCAGTGCCATATTTATGCTTTGCCAGAATGATGCATTGGCACAGAAGTAACATGTTATGTTTTGTTTTTATTTCTGAGGCTGAAGCATTGCTTGTGTATCTGACCTGTGACATCTGTAGGATTTGAGTTTCTCACTGAGGTGGTCATGGTGAGTTCTGTATTCTGGGATATAACGCTATGTAGTCTGTTGAAAGTCAACTGAAGTTTAAGAAGAACATGTCGTCTTCATCGTCAGGGTCGAAGAATAATCCAAACGAGAAACCAGCACAAAGCAGGTGGCAAGCAGATCGACCCTGAAGATGGAGGTGACATGTTCCTCTGAAATGTCAGATGACTGTGAATGGACTACATGTTGTTATATCTCAGAAGACAGATCTGTTCATGGTTAACATATAGTTCACTCGTCAGTCACAGCTTTCTGTATGTAACAGTGAAAGAACTAAGTTTGTCTTACTAATATTTGTAACATGTATAATGGATTTTTGCAGTGTTTGGTCAGTGGGGCCTGATTTGTGATGATCTGTTTGGGCTGCGAGATGCTGAAGTTGTCTGCCGAGAGTTGGGGTTCCCCCTGGGTGCGACAGAAGTGTTGCCACCAGGATCATACATTTCCCGTGACTACACACAGCCGAAGGTTTTCCTAGTGGATGACCTGAAGTGCCTTGGCAATGAGAGCTCTATCCTGGAGTGCGAATTTGCAGGCTGGGGAGTCCATGATTGCCTCCCTGAGGAAGTAAGTGCCTTCATGCATTCCTTATACAGAATGCACCAAGGAAACAGTTTTCTTCTGGGATGTGGTACTGTAAATTCCAGTAGAAGTCCAACATTTTGGGGGAACCTACTGCCTCCATTTTCAGGGTTCGAGAGTAAGCCAAGCAAACAGCAAGCAAGCTTTTATTACTCTCTAACCCTGAAGATGGAGGTAGTAGATCCATCTGAAAGCTTGGTGACTTCCTACTGGACTGTACAGCATCACATCCTGGAAGAAAACACTTTCATAGTCACCACAGTGAGATTCAGCAGGTGAAGTTCTGTGTGTAAAATTTGAGGTTCTCATTGCAATGACATTATTTCTGTGTAGTCTGGTAGATTGTTACAGATGTTTCAGAGGAATGTGTAGCCTCCATCCTCAGGGTAGGAGAATAGAGTAAATGATGTATAGTAAGTTATTTTACTTCTATTCCTAGTTGTTTTATCTTATTTTACATTTATTCTCTATGTACAGTTTCTTTGTGTTTCTGTTCTTTGATTTGTAAGTGCACATGCAGACAGTCCATGAAAATAGCAGGTCATGAAATGCAAAGTGTGGATTTAAAAACGCCACACCACATTCCGCAGCAAGGCCATTTAAATGCCCACAGTATGGTTTAATACTCAGAACTGTTGAATGAATTTTGATTAGATTTGGTACTGGTAAACCATAGTGAAAGTTATCATATGAATTTCATTCATGGAAAGAGACCCCTTGAAAGATGAAAGCATAAATGTGGCAGTTATATTAAATGTATTTTCAATGAAAGATTTGAATTGCCTTGAGGTATGGTATGGTTGTGAGCACTTTTGATAATGATAACAGATATCTGGATTCCGTAAGAACAGGATGTGGCTGTGTTAGTTAGTTAGTCAATTATGTAGTTAAATGCAGTGAAAGGTACATGTTTTTGTGTCTGTCAGGCTGTTAGCGTTGTGTGCAGTGTGCCAGGCCAGACGTGTGCTCCAGGCTTCTGGAAGTGTGGGGGCAGCGGCGAATGTCTTCCCATTGCGTACCTGTGTGACAACATTAATGACTGTGAAGATGCTAGTGATGAAGATCCCTCACAGTGTAACGTGAGTGTTATGTCCAATTAATTATTGATTAAGTAACAATTATTGAAAAGGCTTGAAAGAAAGTGTCATTGTAAGACTCACCACCAGAAATTTACACATCATTTCAGAACACATATCAGGACTTATAACCTCACCATTGAGAATGATCTAGTTACATAACAGTGTGGTTGGTACTACAGATACTTCTTGTTATTGAAATAGTGACATCATACCTCATCAGACTGTGATGAAGGTCATGATTGAAAACATGGTGTTTTGTGTGCTGTTTGTGCTGAGGTTATATAACAAGGACTAGCTGGACAAGCTAATCAGTCAACAGGCAGTTTGAGGTTGGAGTTGGTGGTGTTACACTGTTAGCAGCCACTACCTAGCAATGACTAGTGATGACAGATTAACGAACAGAAGACTTTATATGTGCTGTAGTTGTAGTGATCTGTAGACTATAAATTGATGAGATTCTTACAGTTATTTATAGTTATGAGTTATAAGCATTAAATAAATCCAATTACCAGTTCAAACTCCATGTCTAGTCACTGACACATGACAATATTTTGTACATAGAAATCATAAATTTGCATCAAAATATACAAACGTACAAAGTCATTTGTTTTTTTAATTAAACCCAGTGCAGAAATGGGTAGATATTGTGATGCATATATCATTAGATTTTTTTTTATTGCTAGTGGGGTGGGACTAAGTCATTTGTACTGCGGCCACTTCTTGTCTATTGTACCATCCCCAGATGATAGGTGAGGGTGATTGTGGAGCATTTGGTGGAATGAAGATTGGCAGGGGAAACTGAAGTACTCAGAGAAAACCTGCCCCAGCGCCACTTTGTCCACCACAAATCCCACTTGACCAGACCCAGGATCAAACCCGGGCGACCGCAGTGGGAAGCCAGCAACTAACCGCTTGAGCTATGGCACGGCCACAAATTGGAATCTTACTATACTGGAAAGGATCATGTTAATGATTACCCATGTGTATATGTAAAATCATTTGCAGTTGCCTGTGGAGCTGCGATTGGCAGGAGGACCCAACAACATGGAAGGGCGTGTTGAAGTGCGGTATCATGGAGTATGGGGAACTGTTTGTGATGACGACTTCGCAGAACCTGCCGCTACAGTCATCTGTCGTTCATTGGGATTTGGTGGCCCAGCACAGGCAAAGAAGGATGGGTTTTTTGGTCCTGGAGAAGGTCAGATCTGGCTGGATCAGCTGCACTGTGTGGGCAATGAAACAGGAATAGCAGAATGTCTGCATTCATACTGGGGAGAACACAACTGCAAACACAACGAAGATGCAGCCGTCATCTGTGCACCAGGAGATGTTCGGCAGTCACTGGTAAGCTCTGAAGCACACCTGGCAGCATATTCAAAGTATTTCCAATGTGCACTGTGTGCTGCTTGCTCATATATCTCTGCTCTGAGGGTAGTGTGACAGAAAGAGTGGATGAATGCACCTGTGGGATATTATTAAAGAGGAAGATTTCAGTTCCTCTTGATTTGTTGCAGTTGTCTATGTATATAAGTTTATTTTAAATTAAATGACCATGTATTACCTGACAGGGTGATTGTAGTAACTGGACAACATTCTTGATGTAGCGCACATGTGGATGTTGGTAGTTTATTGATGATTTTCTTTATATCAGTAAATTTAATGCGAGTGTTTATCACGCATTTATTTTGTGGATTTATGTAACTTTTCTTCCAGACTTTTTGGTGCGTTGACAGCGAAAGTTGTGAAGGTGCCTGTATTGGTTTCACCATCTGTGTATGTCTGTCCATGTACATGTTAAGCTCAAAAGCCACCAGACACATTCTAATGAAACTTAATATGCAGGGTTTTACTAAAATTCTTTGGCATGTTCCCGTTTTGGTTAAAATTACATGAAGACCTACTTGTGTTCCTGTATGATTCTTGGATGTAACTGGCTGAGAAATGTTCTGTACAAAATTTGTGCATATTTTAAATTGAATGCTTTTTTATTATTTTTATAAGTCTTACAGTTTTTGAGGTAATTAAACCAAAGGGAGTGAGCATGCCAGAATTGTGACAATATGCATACATTTCCTAACTTGTTCTCTCAGGTTGGGTCATAAAACAAGTTGAAGTAAATGAATCTCAGATATGGTAATATTCATGTGATATTATTAAAATTAATACTTGAAATAATATTATATTGTGACATGTTGCACAACGGAGGAACCCCCCCACCAGCAGTGTCGCGGCGGGTGAGTCAGCGCTCCGTCATCCCCCCTCCCCATGGTATCGTAATGCGCAACGTGCAGTGACGTAAGACGGCGTGAGGTAACAGCGTTGCTACGTAACAGGCCCACACAGCCCCTATATAAGAGAGCTGCGCTGCCTGCGAAGTTAGTTGTAATGTGGTCATCGCCGAGTTCAGTTCCGAGTTAATTCCGAGCAAGCCTACGAGCGAGTGTGTTATCAACAGTTCTCCAGTCAGCCAACTACAGTTGGAGTATAGCAGCCGTCGCGGTAAGAAGATCCGGACGTGTGTGTGATTGTGTAATTGGGAGTGTGTGATACAGTGATACAAAGCTCCCCTACTGTAAACGTGTAGACTACTGAAGACAGAGTGAACTGATTTGCGCATAGGGTTAGAAATCGTGAAACCCCGCAACTGTGTTATAATTAATTGTAGCCGTTACTTGTAGGTTGTTGAATAAACCAATTAACAATCCGAACGGTGTCTTCAGTAACTAAAACACGTTACAATATTTTATTAAGTATATAATACCTAACTAATTAACTCTATGGAACCAAGTCCATGCAAAGCTGTCCCAAGAAATTCCTGAAATATTATGAAAACCAAAAGTTCATTACCAAATTTGCAAATGCCTGTCCAATGGATCCAGTCCACATCCTCACTCTGTGTTTCTTTAAGAAAAAAGTTAATATCCTAATCATCTGTGTGAGAGTCTCCCATGTGCTCTTGTGTTCAGGTATTCTGACTGAAATTTTGTGTACATTCTATTGCACCGCATTGCGTTCTTGTTGGTCGTGTGAATTGTCTGACACATCTCTGAGGGTACATCATACCTTGAATGGACAGTCATGTGGAAGAAAAGTGGAATGCATTCTGCATGATCTCTGATATGGAATATTTGGGTCCTGTCATATGTTGAGAATAGAATATGGTAACTTTTTAATGATAACTGTGCCATTAACTGAAGAAGATGCACCCTCAAAGATAGTTTAGCGACAGCGCTATCTCTACACATGTCTGTACTTGAAGTTTTGGTATGATTCTTTGTACTCAGAACCTCCAGAGGGCAGATGACCTGCCTCGTGCAAATTATGTCACACCAGTCAGTAATATTCTCCCATCTGAGTGTGGCAAGAGAAACATAGACCCCTTGAACCTGGGAGATGGCCCGGTGGCTCGTATTGTGGGAGGGTATGAAGTGCCGAGGGGAAGCTATCCATGGCAGGTAAGAAGTTGTACCATGACTGCCAATTCACCCTCTCTTTGTAGTGGAATCCTCATGTGATGTTTCACAATATAACCTATATCACTCAGGAATGTGGGATTTTAAGTTCCCAGTAGTGCTGGGATGGTGGTTGAATTTTAACTTGTATAGTAAATGGACCATATGTTTGTTGCAACAGTGCAGTTCATGGCAAGTAAAGGGGTTAAGATTTTCCTTTATTTAGCATTCAGTTTCTCCAGTGTCAACCATATTATAACAGTTTCAGGTTCCTCTTTGAGTTTTTCTCTATCAGGATTTAATGTAGCCCCTCAGAGAAACATGATATGGAGATTTTACTGTATATATGACGAAGGTACACAACATTGGAGTCCATGTCCTGGTTTTATTATGTTATTAAGATTCTCAGTTTGAATTCCAACATCGTCAAATAGGAAGTTGGGTGGGCCTCAAGGCTGGTCTGAATGCTGCAGAGAAGAGCAAAATGCCTGCCCACTACAGTAATTGAATACCAATTCCTCAGCTGTTGAGCACATAGCCTAGTCACTGAACTGTACTGTCTCAGCTTATATCAGCATGCTCTTTACTTTCAGTGGTAATGTTGCAAAGGTGTTCATTTTCCAACCGTCTTTCCACAGATGCTTCATGCTTAGCTGTTACCGTTTTCGTAGGTCCAGCCAGGAAGCATATTATCAAAACTTCTCTGTATTTGAGATGCCACCTTTAAGCCAGCATTTGGCTGTGCTCAGAGTAAAAGCATTAACGTACATTCTCTCGTCTGATACCCCCCAATCTTCTCAGAGTCTGATAGATAGCTGTATGGTAGACAGCAAGGTTGTCCCTCTGCTTAGTCAAGAATCATGCAATGAAGGCGTAGGGGGAAGTGAACCATAATTCCACATATTCTTAACTTTGGCACTAGATGGAGGCGAGTGGTCAGATTCACTCTTTGGCTACTTTGACCTTGTGGAAATAGCCCTCCAGAGTTCTGGGTGGGTCCTAGAGCCCGTATGGACACTGGGGAGGATAGAAGGAGCTGTCCCTCCTGCTGGAAATTAAACTGTGATGCGTCCATGGCCTGACCCATCGCCTGGATGGTCACTATTCTCACTGAGCTGCTCCAGCTCACATTTGCATTGTGTGTTTCATTGCAGGCAAGTGTGCGAGTGAGAACGGGAGGGAAGTCTGTGCACTGGTGTGGGGCGGCTGTGGTCTCACCACTCCACATCCTCACCGCTGGCCACTGTATGCAGGACTACACCAAGGGAGCCTACTTCATCAGGGTTGGAGATCATGACACAGAGGTGAGCAGAATCCACTTCTCTACCATTGCAAAGTATCAGCATACCCTGAAAAGCGCCAGGTATTGTCGTGTCCCCCAGATATACGTTGGACATCGTGAATTTTCTGTTAAAGAGAGTGTCACAATTCCCTCATTCCTTTGTTCATTGGCCACCCTTTCCTGTATGTTAGCCACGATAGCAGGGTTGGGATAGTGACTAGGCAGTGAGACCTATAATTTATGTTGTACACTATACAGATTTTGTGCATTGATTTCAGAGTGACAAAAATCCTTGAAAAGAGGGGTGAATAATGATAAATATGATACTGAATCATTGCTTTGCTAAAGAGTGTGTCAGGATGAAGACAATCTGAGCAGTTGTTTTCTTACAGGAAGCAGAAGGAACAGAGCAAGAGTTGAACATTGATGAGATATACTTGCATGAGGAGTTCAACAAGAACATGCGCCTCAACAATGATATTGCTCTGGTGAAAGTGAAAGGGCTGGGAATGCAACTGGGTCTACACGTCATGCCTGCCTGCCTGCCGCATCATGGTGTCCAGTATACTCCGGGTCTCAACTGCACCATCTCCGGCTGGGGCTCGGTGAAAGCAGCTGGTGCAGGTGAACACAGTGAGCCTCAGAAATGAAACACAGGGTCATACAAATGCATTTCATTTTTCTCTCTGACTTGTTCAAAATATATTTTATTGTGATAATTATTTAACCAGTTACACTTGAGGTAAGTGGAGAAATGCATCTAAAATGTCCGTTATTTATTGTCTAATTTTAACCAAAATTTAAATTTATTGATAAATTTTAGTAAAACTCCCCAATATAAAATTTTACAAAAATCCACTTGGCAGTTCTCACTTGTTTCATGCATACAGCCAGATGAACAGACAAATGGATGTAGCAATTCTAATAGGCACTCTGTATGGGATACCTCAGCAGTCAGTGTAGGAATGGCTATGTGCTGGATGACTGGGTTTCGATTCCCAGCAGGGGCAAGATTTTTGTGTTCACCACAGCATCCAGACCAGCTTTAGGGTCACCCAGCCTCCTATACAATAGGCACCAGGGGTGATTTCCTTGGGGATAAGGTGGCTAGGGCATGAAGTTGACCGCTCACATCATTAATGCCTACATATCTTCATGGCACAGCGCTTAATTAAGCACAGGGACAACTTTGCCTTTTGCTTGTTACTCTGTAGAGCTGTGAATGTGCCCAAAAAGGCCATAACTGCTCACCTTCCTACTTTCCTCATTTTTAAGAAATAAAAGGAGGCTTATGGGATCACTCTGCTGTCTGTATATCCATTTCCCCCTAATTCCTGAAAGACAGAAGTTGCCCTGTTTATATAACTTGGGGTCAGACTGCAGAGAAACACTGCATCCAACAGCTGGATGCTTCGTTTCCTGTGCAGTCTGTTTCATATCAAAGGAAAGTAGGCAATGAGTTCGTCCCACAACTTCTTGTCTCCCCTAAAATTACTGCTCTGAAAGTGTCAGTAATGTGACAGGTCCCATACCAGTGGAGTTCTATCTTAGGCTGACACATGGTGTTCCCTGATTTCTGTATTACTATTACAGATATTCAGGGTATTGGCCCCAAAGTAAGGATCCTTGAACTATACTTGTGCATTTCATGCAACAGAAATGCTCCATACTTTGATCCTCATATATTTGTAGAGTACCAGAGACAATCACAAAAATATGAGAATGTGCCTTCTGAGAGTAAGAACACTTACCGCTTTGGGCCTTACGAACGTGAAACTTTAATTCCAATTATACGAGTATGTTTAGGAGACGAAATCATGTTTATGTAGAGCCTGGCTTAATGTTCTTCTCCCATGTACAGGTTATTCTCGTCATCTTAGGGCCACTTGGATCCCTTTGCTGCCCCATGAAACATGTAAGGCCAGCTTTGTCTACGGTACAAAAGCCATAGGAGATGGAATGTTTTGTGCTGGGCTGCTGGAAGGGGGAGTGGATTCCTGTCAAGGTGACTCAGGTGGAGCCCTTGTGTGTCTCATTAATGGTATGACACTTTTTTTTTTTTTTAGGTTTATTGCATTTTGCAATACTTTGTAGATTGTCTAGATGTTGCGTCTTACATGCCGAAGATGTTTGTGCAGCTCATGTGGGAAAAGCAAGCCACAGGGAGCCTGGATAGCAGGAAGGAACAATCAGGGAAAATTTTGGCTATGAGCGAAGTCACCGACTCACTGACCACATAGCACAAACTGTGCAATAGAGAGGGGTGCCCATAGTAGTTGACACATTTTCTTGTACACAGTTAGTTTAGGCAAGTAATACAGAAGGAATGCATGAGGTTTGAGGTCTTGATGGCCATGACTGTGTGGATTTGACACTGTATAGTCTGGTAGATCATTAGCAGTGTTTAGGGGAAATCTTTTTGCCTCCATTGTCAGGGTATAAGAGCTTTATAAATTCACGGCAACATTATGATTGTATGCTAGGTGTCTTATCTTTGCTCTTTATGTTATTTGAATCTGTTCTAGTAGTGTGTGTGTAACAAAGCATACGGCAGCAGTATTATATTCTTTCATACTTTTTTATTTTCACACAAATTAATTTGTATCACTTAGGAATGAGATTAGAAGTAAAAAGGATGAGAAAGGGTTAAGAAACTGTCTCATATGAGTGAAATGAGTGTCTTTTATATTGGTCTCAAGAAGGTGACATACAAGCTGAGAAGACTGAGGTATTTTGAATTTGAGATTCTCATATCGGTGACTCTGAAGAGCGCTGTCTTCTGAGATGCGATGCCTTGCTTCCTGCTGGTTGCTTAGATTATTCTTTGGCCCTGAGGAAACATGGGTGAGCTTCAACAAGACTGCACTGTTTTACATCCCAGGTGACAGTGCATTTTAAGGTAAAAATATGTCAGAGAAGATTTTGTTTAAGACTTCACAGAACAACAGCAAAACAAGCAATGCTGTTCGTATGTGAAATCTGGTTTCCAAAGTAAAAGGACAGGAAGAGGCTGGATGCACAGCAGATAGGACTCCTCAGCTCGGTTGCTTGATGTTGGTATGATGAAATGGCCGGAGAGCAGCTTGGTTGACTAACATACTGGATACTGAGCATTAGAGAAGGCACCGCAGATCCCAGTTTGAATGGACAGAGGACACCTGTTCAGTACAGACTTCAGGGAAAAATGCTAGGAGGCTGAAAGATTAGCAGTGAGACTTGGGAAAGGCTGTAGTGGCCTCAACCATGCGAACACAGAGCAAGAAGAAAAAGGTAAGCCAGGAATTGAGATGTCTAAAATGTGCAGTAGCAGATATCTCTGTTCACTGAGTGAATAAACTGGCAACACTTCTTATTGTTAGGTAACATTGATGTTAGTGGATATATCCTCCATTCCTGCTCCAAAATTGTAACCTTCGTCTCCATATTAATGTACGCTTTATAGATCACTCCTGCGATGGCATTTATTTTATTCCACAGGTGAGTTTACATTGTACGGAATTACAAGTTGGGGCCACGGGTGTGGGCGACCTAACAAACCCGGTGTGTATACCAATGTGGGCTTCTACAGAGACTGGATCGACCATAAACTGGAAGACTCCATGTCAGGGCGCTGAGAGAAGCCACTGCAGCAGGTGAGAGTGACTGCAAGCATTTCCTCTTGTACTTGTCAGCTGACATCATGGAGTTCTCTCATCACAACACTCTGTCACTTTGTAATTTGTAATGTTCTCAACATACTGCCAGTAACTGTACACCGGCAATTGGCTGGACAGCAGTGAAAAATGAATTGGAAAGGATATGGAAGGAATTGGTCATGACCTGATTTAAGATACTATCTTGGCCTTTACCGCAGGACTGACTAAAAACCACAAGCAACCTCAGCAGGGATAGTCAGTGCCCTAGATGAGATTTGAACTGGGGACACCTCCCGAATATAAACCAGAAGCACTGTCATTTGAGCCAACTTGCTTTATCTGGACTGTACTGGTTAAGTTCGGACTAATTTACTGAAGAAAGTGGTCTTCTGGGATGCGGCACCATGTATATGTGTTAACCAACGTTTCGGTGGAATGTATCGCCTCCATCTTCAGGGTAGAAGGAAAAATAAAAAAATCCACACGTGAAGAGACAGTGAGAACAGGTGCAAGCAGACTTGCGGATTTTCTTATTTTTCCTTCTACCCTGAAGATGGAGGCGATACGTTCTTCCGAAACGTCGGTTAACAGCACATCTACATGGTGCCAGAAGACTGCTTTCTTCATAGTCACCGCCGTGAAAACCTCAAATCTTAATTTACTGAATGTTTAGCATTTCTACTTCATATTTGGAACATCATATTTTTTTAATTTCTAGTCCAGAGGGCAGCTATACTGATAGGTTCTACTCAGTCCCTCCAGGAGAGTACCTTAAAGTAGGATGTAATATTATGTATAGTTTTCTTGATACAGCTAAATATATATGTTCAGTCATTGTGAATAACCTTAATGTACCCTTAAAAATTTTCAGCAAGAGGATATTTCTTGTGAGGGTCTCCAGCTTGCAGTCTTTAGAAATGGCTTCCATTTTGCCCCAAAGGAAAAGTAAATACTCACCTTACACAGTAAAAGGGTAACTGAAATATTTATTTGTGTATGAGAACAATGTCATGCTTCAAAAATACCAGATAAAATACTAAATTGTATAATGAAAAACTTACAAAGAAATTTCTGAAATCTGGATACTATACACATCTTTGGTATGTAAAATATAAAAAGTATTAATTAAATTTAGAACTATAAATAATCATGAAGCTTGCTATCTTCTGGGATGTAATACTGTGTGGTCCAGAAGAAATTTACTAACGTTTTCAGGAACATACAGCCTACATTTTCAAGGCTGGATAATAAGCCAATCAAGTAACCAGCGAGATGCAGATGGCTTACCCTATAACCCTGAAAATGGAGGCAGTGTATTCCTCCAAAATGTTTGTGAACTTTTGCTGGATTACACAACTACACATCCCAGAAGACAATGCTGTTCATTAAATCACTGCTACAAGAATGTCAGATCCATTACAGATATTCTACTCCATCACAGACTCCTCAGGAAGCATTTCACATCATCACTGTTTCATCTGCAGTGCAGGCAAACCCCAACTTACAAACATAATATGCCCTTTGAAACATGTTTGGAAGTGAATTTATATTTTCCATGGAAATATATCATGAAATCTGCTAATGTCAATTTATTAAAATGTCTGTAAGTGTGGGGTTGGCTGCGCTGTAGCTCAAGTGCTTAGTCTCTGGCTTCCCACCGCGGCGGCCTGGGTTCGATCCTGGGTCTGGTCAAGTGGGATTTGTGGTGGACAAAGTGGTGCTGGGGCGGGTTTCCTCAGAGTACTTGGTTTCCCCTGCCAATCTTCATTCCACCAATTGATCCACAATCGCCCTCACCTATCATCTGGGGCTGGTACAATAGGCAGGAAGTGGCCGTAGTACAAGGGACTTAGTCCCACCCCACTAGCAATACAAATAAGTGTGGGGTTCTATTTTTGGTAAGTGAATTGGGAGTTGCAGTACTCATAAAGATGAATTGTTCATTTTTTGAAAGTTCATAAGTAGAGGTTTGCCTGTATGTAGATATGTTTTGTGCAGTTCCCATGCACTTTGGGTTCTTGGCTTAGATATATCATGTTCTGATAAATGCTTCTAAATACAAAAACAGGATACAAATCTTACACAAGTCTGTTTCATTAATGTGCTGAAGTGCTTCATACATTGCAGTAGTGAAGTCCTGCATGTAAGATATGTTATCATGTGTTTTTGCAGCACACTATTGTTATAGTTTGCTTTGTTCTCATAAAGATATCACATTTTTTCTGCTTTTTTAATGTATATTACACTTGAGTTTCACATGTACTCATACAACATTATGATCATCCTGTTCATTTGCTGCTCTACCCCTGTACTGGGATTTTACTTGCTGTCAAGCATTTTCCCATGAAAACTGGATTTTGAACTCAAGACATTAAAATTTAACTCAGGGGTGTCGGGTGCTTCCTCCAGTTACTATAGTTACTGGATCATATGGTGTGTGGTGGTGGGGTGGCAGGTGTGGATGTGAGTGTGGTTGAGGTGCTTTGGGATTAACCCTGGGTCTTCTACCTCACTTCCAACATCCTTGACAGAATCTCTTCATGACTCTTGTATCTATATCATACTGGACACCAGCATAACCAAACAGTTAAAATCCTTAAATATTTTTGACATGAATTTAATCAAAATTACTACATAAAGTTTAAAATCTTTTGCAGTCTGAAACCTTCTAACATTATTTGAGATTTCATTCTGTAGTTGTAGGGGTTTTGCCGTTCAACTTTTAGGGTGAAAATATAGGTCCCGTGTTAACATGGATGTTATGGAGGGGACTTGTTTCTGTTCATGGAACTGCTGTGTGTTGCTTTCAGACTCCAGCTGTGTAACACGTCGGGTTGCCCTCGTTAGTATCTGTAGTAAGTTGTCCGTTGAGTTTAGCTCCTTACATAGAGACTGGATGAACCAAGTTCCTTTGTCTGGATTACGAAATGAATAAAAACCTGTGAAGATAAAGAAAATATCTCATAGCCTTGAAAGTGATCATTAATTTGAAACAGAGGATACCATATGAGATCTGAGGTTATCATGATGGTAACTATGCAGACCAGGTGACTGTTCAGAACTGTGTTGCTCTGTAGTTTGTTGGAAGTCAACTGATGTTTCAGAGGAACATACCACCTCCATTTTCAGGGTTGAAGAACAAGTCAAGCTCTGCTTGCCACCTGCTTTCATGCTGGTTTCTTACTTGGCATATTCTTTGACTCTGAAGATGGAGGCGACATGTTCCTCCGAAACGTCTGTTGACTTCCAACGGACCACACGGCATTAAATCCCAGAAGATAGAACTCTTCATAACCACCGCTGTGAGAAACTCAAATCCTGCATAGTCCAGTAGATGTTCACAGATGTTTTTGATAAATGTGCTGCATGTGTCTTCCTCCAAAACATCACATCACAGAAAACAGTAGTCTACCGGGGACACCTTTCTGCTCTTGAAAACTCTTGCTGTGTAGCTGTTATAAGCTTTCATTAGTTTGAGTTGCATCTTACCTTCCATAGTGCTGTGGGCAAACAGAAAATCGGCATGAGTTGGAATCTTGCACAAGGGTGGGCTGGAATCAAACTCTATACTTCTTCGCTGCTTGACCTTGATTCCTGCATCAAGTTTCTTCCCTCGACATGCCTGTAATATAAAACCGCTCGATAGCTCATGCTGTAAAAATGTAGGCCTTTGCATGGAGACAATGATACATCTAGAATATGCTCAATCCACAGTTCTTCTTGCTTGTCACATAACTTGAGCTGCTCAGCTGGGCGGCTAATACTGTATGATTAAGGTAAACCAAAGTAAAATTAATTAATGGGCACACTGTTTATAGGTGATGGCTCTTACAGAAGTACACTGTATTGCTAGTCTTTTAGAAGTCTTTGCTGCTGCCTTCTTCAAGGTTAAAGTGTGACTACCCAATGGTCCCTGCAGATTCAGTAAATGTCTCTATTCTGGTGTGAACTGCTAACATTTGAATCATGGATTGAAGAATGAAATGGGGGACAAGGGTCTTCAGGTGACCTTAGAACAGGCTGTTATAATAGATGTATCAGAAACTGTAGGTTAACTCATTTCCTGCCATGCAGTTGTATTGGGATTTTACCTGTTGAGCCAGTAATTTTGCAACAAAAGTTGGATTTAGAACTTTTTACATTCAGAATGGAAATGAAAGTGAACAAGTGACAAATAATCAACATTTACTATATGTATGATCTATTTCCATCAATAAATCGTCTATTTGAAAGTACTTTCCTGGTAGTCAGACCGGGGGTGGGTCTGAAGGAAACCTAACCCAGCTGTCTCCCTCCGCATACAAATCATACACCCACCTCAGTAGGAAGCAAAAAAATGTGCACTTGTTGGAAGCTAATTGTAATTGTGTCATGAAATTAATGTTGATGTGTACAGAGTAACTCATATAGAATTACTCTGCTATGGAAGATTTTTTTTTCTTTTGCATAATCTTGTATGTGTTGTTCAGGGATGTACCTGTATAAAGAAAAGTTTTGGCTTCCCAGCCAGGCTGGGGCACTTATCGGCTGTAAATGGTTTCCAGAGCATCTCCACATTGTAGAATACGCCGCTGTCTCGAGGTACAAGACGTCCCTCCCTTTCTCCGTGTGTCAGCACTATTACTGCTAGGCAGTCAGCATCTGAATGGTCCTCCTTAGCCACTAGAAAAAATTAGTTTAGTGTGACAAGTGATTTATTTCTTTCTTTCTTAATTTATCTGCTTGTATATTATTTTAACTGCCTCCTGTCAGTAGAAAATGTAAACAAATTGTTTACGAAAATGAATCAAAATTCCAATCTGCCCCTCTATTGGCCAGACATTCATTGACTGGAATTCAGAATTCACTAGTTTCTCAGTGTCTGGAACTGTAAATATCAATTATTTAGTCCACTTCAGAATGGTTTATGGATGTTCAAGCTTTGACAGCATGCATAGTAACTACTGTGCTTTAAGAGGTTCATAGAACACCACTAATATCAAAACTCACCACTTAAAATGATATACAGCTAGTGCAATCATTCACTTTGTTGCTGTCTGTTTCTCTAAGATCCATTTTAACATTATCTTTGGATTTGAATGTTAGTCTTTAAAGTGAACGTTTTCCAAGATACATCCCCATCAAAATTCTATACATTNGTTAAAATTCTTGACCCTACCGGGACTCGAACTCCGACCCTTCACAGTCGTCCAGCCCGTATAATAAAATTTGGCTTAACCGGGTTTTCGATCAACCGTGACTTCCATCCCCACCATTAGCCCGGATAATCGAGAGTTGACTGTACATGTTTTTCCCCATATTATCTGTGATTATAGATTACCTACATTGGACAATATTAAAATGGATCTTAGGGAGATAGGATGGGATGGTATTGATTGGATTGATCTGGCTCAGGATAGGGACCAGTGGAGGGCTCTTGTGAACATGGTAATGAACCTTCAGGTTCCATAAAATTTTGGGAAATTCTTGAGTAGCTGCAGAATTGGCGGCTCCTCCAGAAGGGCTCAGCTCCATGAGTGAGTATAGATTACCTACATGCTGAAATGGCTTCTTTGATGTCTGAATACTCCAGGTTGTTATGAATGGTGACTTCAAATAGAAGAGATGTGAAGGTTTCATGTAATTTCTTGACGTCAAGTTTGGACCCTTCTCTAGGTGCATAATCATTTGTGTCAAAGGTGTCGTGGTTAAAAATTACAGCTTGTCCCCTGCGTTTGTGTTTCATGTTGTATTCACTTGCATCCCAGGCAACAGGCATCTCTACAGCCATTGATACACATCTGTACAAGGTAAGGCTTGTGAAACAGCCATCACAGCTTTTGGCAACTCAAGACGTCTAATCATTAACCATCTTTACATTGTCACCATTGTGTATTTTTTTCCAGAATCGTGATATAGGAATTGTTAAACAAATTTAAAATGTGACACAGTTCAAGTTCTTGGACACAACAGTAACAAATAAAAAATAACCATAAAAATTACAGTGCATCTTATACATCAGTGCGACTTATATATGGGAAGTGGTAATGAAAGCGATGTGTATAAATGTTAGGACTGTGGTTAACAACTCATTTAGAAGTAAATATATATTTTTGTTATAAATAATAAATAATGAAATGTTTTCCTACACAAAAAGGAAATAAAATGTTTTAGGTAAAAATATTTTTTAATTTCTCCCATGTAAAACATTATGTGACATATACAACATGAAATTGGTATATTTATGAACAAATGAATCATTTTAAATATTAAGTGTGTCCATACAAAAGTTCAGTTGATGCCTCTCAGAATATGCACTGTGTCTCAATTACAATGAACATTCTGTTTATGCTGTCTAGGGAAATAATCACTGTTTATCATTAGAATCATCAAGTCCATAAATACACAGTGTGGGCAGAATTAAGACTTTATTGATGTTAAAGCAGATGGTAAGGGATGTGTTTTGAACGGTTAATGAGGGATTAAATGTATGAAATGCTTTCCACTATTTTTTTATTGCTAGTGAGGTGGGACTAAGTCCCTTGTACTTTGGCCACTTCTGGCCTAGATGATAGGTAATGGTGATTGTGGAGCAATTGGTGGAATGAAGATTGGCAGGGAAAACCGAAGTACTCGGAGAAAACCTGCCCCAACACCATTTTGTCCGCCACAAAACCCACTTGACCAGACCCGGGATCGAACCCGGGCCACCGCGGTGGGAAGCCATCGACTAACCGCTTGAGCTATGGCGTGACCCCTTCCACTATTTGGTTTCAAATAATTATCTTGCTGCCTCCTCTCCGGAACCCTGAAGACCAGAATATACAAAAGTGGCACTGGGTGAGTTTTCTCTTTCAATTTCTCCATACCACTCATTCGTTCCACCATCTGCTCTACACTCACGAATTATCTTCTCATCTGGCGCAACATTATCTCAATTCTGACAGTGTCATTAATTAACCAACTAAAGAAATTGTGTTTACTTTTTTCTTTACCTGGATCCAGTTTCGGAGATGTTGCTGTTCTCTGGTGGTGTACAGGGAGTTGAATCAGTGACCTCTTTGGAGGTCTTGTCACTTCTTGTCCCTGTCTGTCCCTTTTGATTCCATTCCACACTAACTGTTGGATTCATGTCTAGGGTTGTTGGTCGTTCATTCCCACCCACAGCACCGTCAACTCTTGTCATGTTCTCTGTATCTTTAACTTTGCCATGTTTATCGCCAATACAGTCTACCACATCCAAACTTCTGCGTCTACACGATTGAAATTCGTCACGTACAGTCGTGTACATTCTTGTGCTTGGTTCTGTAAGTACTGAGTCTTCACCAGTCCTGTTAATAACATCTGACCTACTTCTTTTATGAGTTGGTTTAAAATTAGCTTGTATTAATGTGCTTTTAATGTCAGAAATTGCTTGGGTTTCATCAGCATCTGCTGCACTTCCTTTCTCCATTCTTACTATCTCAGATTCTGTGGTGTTTATCTGGGACTTTGTTATCTGTAGAGTGATAAAGCAGCTACCAGTTCTTTTTGTTGTTATTGTAGATATAGTTTGCTTATTTTTCTGTGTCCTTATTATACTACACCTTCTAGTTTGTTCTGTAAAAGGTGAATGATACTCATTGATCCTTCTTTAGTACTGCAAAATGATCATAAAGGATGAGTCAGGTGGATGTAGAATGCCATCATAAGCTATTTTGAGGTGTCTGTTTGAGGCTGAGAAAAACCTCAGTCAGGATAGGCTACTCTATCTTAGATTCAAAATGACGCTTTTCTAAATGCAAGTCTGACAGAGTGACACTGAGCTAACAAGTCTGATATCAGCAGCAAAGGAAGTAAGGGGCACACACAGACATAGAAACAAAGGCTCTCTAAATTTCATTTCCTGTGAAATACCACCACCTGATCAATTAGCCTTATCTTGCAAATGTGTTGAGAGAGAGGACAGTTACCATGGTTATCTGTGCATATCTATACGCTTATGGCTGTTAAACAAGGTTAACCCTTTGTTTGTGGTTGTTGCATATTAACATATGGCACTCCATGGGTGTGCTATTTATTTTGTTTGAAACTGAGAACTGTTGGACTCAGACCACCTATAGACTGAAATGTTGTTTTTCTTTCAGTGCTAGTTTCCATTTAGGCCCATTTATTTCGGCACCACAGAACAACCAGGTCCGGTGTAAATGTTCTGTTATTATTGTTTAATTTAAGACTTCTTTGCATCATCACAACACAACTGATTTATGCAGATGTCAGACCAAATCAAACACTATAACAGGGAAATATTTCTGTGAATTCTGGAGTATGCCCAGCAGACAACCTGAAAGTGTTAAATGGAAGTCCAAAGTTTGAGGTGTGGAGAAACTGAGGGTCAAGTCTGAGAAGCTACAAAAATGGTGCTTAACATAAATAAAGATCTCAGCAAGCTCTGCGAGTTTAATTTAAAATGTTTCTCTATTGTAAATATAACAGCAAACTGCAAGGGAAAAATATGTCTCTCTCTCTCTGTTCACATTTTAGTTTTGTGACAAAAGTTTTTTTTATCTGGAATGAATTAGCATCAGGACCAGTAAGTTACACAGATAATTACATTTTATGTATTTCATTTCACAGTGATAATGCAGTAAGAGAAACACAATGTGAAGTCCTTCTTTGTCCTGATATATTCAGAACTTTGCTACCTTTTTGATACATTTTATGTGTTGAAAAATACTCTGGGTACAGAAAACATAAAAACTATTCTGAACTCATAAGTTTGGACATCAGGTTCCAATCAATGTACACTATGTAATCCAAAATAATATTCTATACAAGTGGTTAGAAGTGGCTTATCAACAAAAATATGGACTTTGTAGAATGCAGACAACTGTAGCTTTTGTCTAAAACTATATTTAATGGTATGAACAGAAACCGTCAAAGTGTTGTCTCGGATGTTGTGTTGTATGGTTCTGCTTCTCACAAAGCAGACTATGCTCTTAACATAACTTACTGGTCATGGTCATGTTTTGGCTCTGTTACACCCAAGAAATATCTGTGATATCTATAGAATAGAATTCTGGGTTCCAGAACCAGTCTGGAATTTGATTGTGAAGATTAAAATTTCCATTGCCCATTCTAGGAATCAAACCCAATCCATTCAGTCTGTGGGCACTGCACAAGATAAAGAAATGAAGGAACAAAGAGTAAGTGGCTTGACTCACCGCATATGTTCCGATGGTGTCACAGCTGTGAGTTGTACTATTCTGACAAAACACAGAGTTTACCTGATGGCGTCATACTTGCAGCATTGTCATCTTTTTTCTCCTAACAATAGTCTCTTCTTTCTGGATTTGCTGAGATAAGGCTGGGTATCATGACAGAAACCTTATAGATATCTAGACTCCTCCCACTTTACTATGGAGTCACTACCTTTATCTGATATAAACCACCTGTTCAGTTATTTATCTGAATTTTATATATGTCACATTATTTGCACCATCGAATGTAGAGCTTACATTCCAAAAGCACTGGCTTATTTCTGTCTCTACCTTGGCTTACTTTCTTCAGTTTTTTATGCTGATGCATTGTTGAAAATATGCATCTCTTATTGAGGTAATGTTTTAAGAGAATGTAAGACAACAGGACACCATCTGAAATATCTGTTTAGCATTTGGTTTTAAGACGATAATAATGGACTCGTGGAAGCAGTCACATGAAACTGAATGTGATAAATCATAAGCATATTTCTGAATGCAACTTTGAAGTTATATCTGGCGAAGTTATTATAGTTAGAATCTGTGCTGCTGAATACTGTGTGGATTTCTGAATTTGAATATTAGTTTATTCTTACAGTGCTTGTCAGAAATGATGGAGAAAATAATTGCTTCCATATTTTCATCCTTCACTCTTTTTTCTTTCCTCTCCTTTACCCTTTTAATACCTTTATCTCCTTCTGTCATTTCTTTATTCCTATCCCATTAACTTTTTATGTTCTCCATCATCCCCCTTCTTCCTTTTGTTTGTCCGTTTCATATCTTTATCTTCCATTATAATAATGATAATTATCATTGCTCTCTGTATACACAAGTAATGACAGAAGCTAGTTTGGGTTTATCTCCATATGCTAGTAATGTTAGAAGACAGTATCCTAGCAACGGCTCTGCAGTCAAGCATTAGGGTTCTCTGAAGGGTGACAGGAATTGGCTGTCATTTATATGGAGATAGACGCTTTATGCTGACTTCACCATTTACATGTAGATTGAAAAAATGACAAAGTGGGTGTGATTAGTTTGTTCCAGAACTTTTTGCTATAAACTTTATAAAGTCAAAACTTTGTGAATGTGATTGAAAACATGTTATTAAGTAAGTTAGAAGTAAAATTGTCCCTGTGATTAACTAATGAAGTACTACACCATGAAGTCATATGGGGGAGTGTATGTATAGATTCACATACACTTATTCTTGACCTTGGCATTAGTTAGAGGCTCCATGCCCCTGCCACTTTACCCTCAAGGAAAGAGGCCCCTGTAACAATTGTATAGAAAGCTCATCGGGTCCCAGAGTTGGTCTGGGTGCTGTGGAGAAGAGAAAATTTTTGACCCTACAGAGACTCAAACTCATTATTAAGTGCATGATAAAATTCCATGCACAGAGTAGGAGTGTGTGTAGTATGTTAGTGTAAGCCTGCACTTTGAGGACCACATTCATGTTCTACCATCCAATGCTATCAGTACATGCATGCATCTTTTGATGTCATGGATATTAACTGTAAATGTATGTAATATTGTATGTAACTCGTATGTAATAAAATAAAATAAGACTCTGGTAGAATGTAGCCAGGATAGGCCAGTCAGTATAATGACTAGATCACAGGCTGGATGGGCAAGGAACTATGGATTGATTCCCAGTATGGGGCAGAGATTTTTCTCTTCTCCACAGGAAATCAAAATTTAAGAAAAGAAGGAAATGTATCAGATATTAATAATAACAATTATATATTTTTTCTAAGGTTATTAAAAATAGCCCTAAATGGCTTAGATGTAGGTTTGGAAGAAAATGTTCTGGCTGCCTGCCTTTCGAAATCGCTACTCCATGAAGACATGGGTGAGTGGATGTACACGTATAGCTCCACGTTTTCTTGACCTCGGCACTAATTGGAGATGAGTGGTCAGCTTCACCCCTGGGGAAAGAGCCCCCAGTACCCACTGCATAGGAAGCTGGGTGGGCCCCAGAGCCGGCCTGGACGACATGGAGAAGTGAAAATTCTTGCCCCCATCGGGACTCAAACCCTGACTCCTTGGTTGTTCAGGCCATAGTCAGTTGCTATACTGACTGAGCTACCCTGGCTCCTCCCATTTATTGATGAATGCAATTTTATTAGTTTATTTATGGATCCTTAGTGGAATCTTTTTGACTTCTATTGTAATTCCATTTCTTTGTGTAGTCCTTTTATGAGGCTGCATCGACAGCTATGGTTATATGATTTCCAGTGATTGTTAATTGCAAGTTACGAGGAATGTGAGAGGTGGGATAGATAGGTGGCTGCTTGTTTGAAGGCATATTCTTATATCCATGTGAACTGACTGCTAAAAACTAAAAAAAAAAACAATTCAGTCAGTATACCAGGTTCCCTATCCTACAGTTTATCATTTGATGATATTTTGTATTAAATACATCTAACTTGGCACATATCTATATAAAGCTCCAGCAGCTTTGTCCCCTAAGTGATAGGATTGGTTTTGAAATGGAACACACTCAACCTGAAAGAGTAAATGCATTTTATGTAGCTTTGAGGTGTAAGTTGTGACTTGAGTATAGATTTCTGTGATAGACATATTTTTCATTCAGGTTAACTAACTCAACTTATGAATATTTCTTTCTTCTGTGTATGATATGCTTTAGAATTGTCCAGTGCATTTCAGTAAGGGGGTTTTGGATTGGAGTAAATTAAATACTTATATAAGATTTGAGGCTTTCACGGCGGTGACTATGAAGACTGCTTTCTTATAAATACTTATACTTTATTGCAAGGACTGCTGAGAAACTTTGCCCTGATATGAGTGAAGTGATATCAGTAAAATTATTTCATACACTCATTTTGAAGAACAGGATAAAATCTTCATTGAAAGGGACCAGGGTGGCAAAATTATTCATAGCAGTCCTAGGAATGGGTACTGGGTCAGATCGTGGCCACAGCTGTACAGTAATTATTATTTCCTGCATCCTGTTGTATTATTATATACAATTTCTTTATTAGTGTCTGTCACAACACAACAATATAAAGGTCATGGCTAAAATTAACCTGGCTACATGTTTCGGCTCATAAAGTCATCATCAGGCAAACACATGATTACCATATTCACACACTACAGAACTGTGTGAATATGGTCATGAGTTTGCCTGATGATGGCTTTATGAGCCGAAACGTGTAGCCAGGCCAATTTTAGCCTTGATGTTTAAATTGTTGTGTTGTGACGGACACTAATAAAGAAATGTGTATAGTAATTATTTTGCTACAGATGAAATTGGTAGTATGTATAATGCCCTTTAGGGGATTGGGTTAATTTACATCTCAATAATAAAATGGGTAATGCATGAAATGAAGTGTTTACATACTTTTATTGGTTGTACTCGAGAGAAAGGGGATGTCCAAAACCCACATGGCACGTACCGTACCCGTCAAATATGGTTTAATTTGGTCTTTTCTGGATGAGGGTTAAACCGTCTTCACTATTTGCGAATAGTGTACATTCTAATGCAAATATACACAAAGCCTGTATAACATGAAATACTGGCCTGTCCTCAATTTAGCCAGTAAGATGCTTGTGTATAATACATACAAATGTATTTTTCGTAAAATTTCCAAACGTTCAAGCAGATGGTCCAATGATTGAGGTTAGCTCTTTCTTAGGGACCTCCCCAGTCACCTGAGGACGAAAACAGACATTCTTTCCGAAACATTGTGTTGCCTTTTTTAGAATACCGGACGATTGACAAGACCAGAAACGCAGTAATTCCGGGTTTCTTTGATCATATTTTTAACGGGAGATACCTTGCTCCTTTTGTTATAGCTTTCACGCCAGATAGCAGATACATTGCGATTTACCGATATACCGTTTAATTCGATTACGACGTGGTTTCCTAGCAACTGTTCGTGCAAGTGCCACACGTGACGAAGAAGTGGGGTTAATGTTTTAAGGTAATACTGTACATTTATAATTGCTTCGTTTGTATGGCCAGATTTATATATCTATAATTTTCGTTCTGATTGCCTAGTTTTTTTAACAGTACTTGACGAACGTAACCAAACTTTTGTCACGATGCTTCTTGAAGTCTTGAGTAAATTTTACAGTAGTCCCAACACTAGAGAATAATAAAAACTGTACATTTTTGTTTACAATTACAATACATTTTTTATTCGATTTTTCAGAATTATGCGGCAAATATGAAGAAATGCCATGTTATATGTGCAGTTTTTGTCATGGTACTGGCAATTCTCTATATAATGGAAACAGACACAGCAACGTTCAGTGCTGTTCAGTCAGCAGTGTTCACTTCTGATCACCGAGATCTCTTCCATTTTGTTTCTCATCCAGACACAGTGGAAATGGTCTGTATGGAATATGTGATATGGTACATGTTATAGCATTTAAATGGTCACAGATTACATTATATGTCTGTTTCATAATGCTTCATACCAACCACACTTCATGTACACAGTTTTGTTTTAGTTACAATAATGCACCTGTTCTGATAACATGCCAGGTATTGTAAGTTGAATATAAATATGTACATAAAATGTGGTTTGTTTTAAAAAATGTAATACTGAATTGAATATTAGTCCGCCAGTTATAGTTACAAAACAGGCAGTGGTATGGTGTGGGACATCTCCTTCCAGTCCTTCCTAGTATAAGTCTGAAAATTTGTCAATAAGTAAGATCAGAGGATAATTCCATTTTAAATAGTTGCAGAAAAACAGAAAATCGAACTTGTTACGCTCATTTTTAAATTAAATTTGGTGAGGTGAATGTATTCACACATGTGAGTTACTACACAAAATTTTAGACATGTAGGTTTAATGATTATTTTTATTTATTGATATTTGAAATTCTAAGTAAAGATCTAAGGTCTTTAAATTTATGTAACTCTGCCCATCCTTGAGGAATACATACATACATTTCATTTCACAAGTCCAAACAAATGGACATGAAGGTCGTCATACAAAAATTTAAACAAACACACAGATAACGAAATAATTAAAACTAATTGCTTATGTTATGCTCCACATATTCAGAAACTGTATAAAAGGAATTATTCATAAGATATAAAAACAGCCTATTTTTAAAACTAATTCTATCATCTTTAAGGCTTTGAATGGTTATGGGCAATCTGTTGAATAGTTTAATAGCAGTAAACATAGTACCTTTCTGAAAAGCAGAAAGATTTGAGTTTGGCAAATATAATTGCTTTTGATTTCTTGTATTCAAACCATGAACATCTAAACCTGAACAAAATTTAGTTTGATTATCAATCACAAACATCATCAACGAGAGAATGTATTCACATGACAATGGCAGTATATTCAATTTCTTAAAAAGATCCCTACAAGAGTCTCTAGGTCCCACTCCAGATATAATCCTTATTACTTTTTTTTGTAATTTAAAAACTCTAACATTATTCGTTGAGTTGCCCCCAAAAATTATTCCATACTTTAGAATAGAGTGGAAATAAGAAAAATACACCATTCGTAAAATTTCAGAAGTTCAGATTAGGCGATTTTGAAGAGAATTGAATAATCTCTCTAATGGGATATCACATGCATGGTTCAGAGAAATGAATTATTCTTCAGGATCATCTGTCTTTCTTTAGACCTGGAAATACACACACACACACACCATGTGTATGTGCGTGCTAAAACGTGTAACCTAATTTTAAGTAGGGACTTTCGTGGGATCAGTTGGTATAAAGTTACATAATGAGAATTGAAGCACAGGGATCCTTCTAACCTGCATGCCTCCCTAACCTACAGTTACATTTGCTTGTCCCTGACTGACTGCCAGCAGGAGGCCAGCATTTTATTTTAACTCGCATTAAGTTAAAAATTCGTTTCTTTTTGTCATACAAATCAGAATTTGGTGATAGATTTGATTAGCTTGTGTTAGGATGGTTCATTTTAGTTAATTTACATTATCCGTTTTATGGATTACAAGATTAACAGAGTGGGTATATCTGGCTCTGTGTTTCCTTCGACATGTATGAAAATCAGATCTCATGTTAGATACAAATTCTGTCTTTGGTAGACAAAAAAGTGTCAGGACCAAAGCCCTGAAACATTCATTTTGTGCTTTTCTGGAATATGACACCGTGAGTCTAGTATGTGGATGCAAAGTTCTCGAGGAACATATCTCCACCTTCCAGGTAGGAGATGGATTCACTGATATGTCAAGTTATATTGCGTAGGCCTTGTGATAGCTTAGGCACTTGGTTCTATTCTAAGGCAATCAGTGTGATATTTGTGGTGGATAGAGTGGTATTGGTGTAGGTACTCCTCCCAGTACTTCAGTTTCCCCTGCAAATTATCATTTCACCAGTGATCCATTCTTTCGTCTGGGGCTGTAAAATATTCCCATTTGTGGTTGAAGGGACTGAAGTCATCCCACCTAAAGAATAACAATAAAAATATTCAGGCAATTTTCATTTAGTTTTCTTGTTGTTATATTATGCAGACGATACAAGTATCCTTATCTTTGATAAGAATTTTGTGAAATTTAAAATTAGAATAAATAAATTATTTGAGATGATAAATGAATGGTTTAGGAAAAATGAGCTAGTAATAAATTATGAAAAAACTTATTCTCTACAGTTTAGAACTAAAAACAGTAAAAACTTAAATGTTCAAGTTAGTTATTTAAACAATCAAATTCCAAATATTTCTAATATATCGTTTCTGGGATTAAAAATTGAAAATTTTTTAACGTGGGAAAGTCATATTGATGCAGTAATTGATAAGTTAAACAGATCCTGTTTTGCAGTCTGATCAGTTAAATCCTTTTTCCACTGGAGACATTAAAAATGATGTATTTTTCCTATGTACATTCTACAATAACGAATGGATTAATATTCTGGGGCAACTCCCCGCATAGTATAAAAGTGTTTCGGATGCAGAAAAGGATAATTAGGATTATAACAAATAAAACAAAGAGAACATCGTGTTGTAGTTTGTTTCAAGAATTGGATATCCTCCCCCTACAAGCTCAATATATATTGTCGATTTCCCTGTTTGTTATAGTAAATAAGGAATTATTCACATTCAACTCACAAATGCATAATTGTAATACCAGATCTATCTGTGATCTGCATTATCCGCAAACTAATCTAACACAATTCCAAAAAGGAATATGTTACATGGGGGTAAAGATCTTTAATCATTTGCCACCAAAAATCAAATCTATGTCTAATGACTTGAAAAATTTTAAAATTCAGTTGACAACATTTTTATTGCAAAACTCTTTTTATACATGTGATGAATTCTTTAGTAACAAATTTGCCTAGAAATAAGGATAATAACATAAACAAATTTAATATTGCATAATTTTATGTATAGTGATGTAAGACTGTAAATTTAACACATGTTTTTTTATCTATTATAATGATTATAAGCTGTACATATATATTTATAATTGTATTGTACTATATTAACTATGTGACTGGTTCTATGTCTATGTATATGGATTTATGGAATATACAATAAATGAATGAATGAATGAATGCTGGTTGTGGGAAGTATAAATACAATATAACACAAATTGTTGTGGAGTGTTCTGGGATAGGCAGTGGCATGTAGATCCACGCTAAGATGCTAAAGATTATTGTTATCATAATATACCTCTGTTTGGTATGTAGCACATATAGTTAACACAGTATCACAGAATAAATTGAGAGCTAAATAGGAAGTAGCCATATCAAGTGCAATGGTTAACTGTTCAGGTTGCCTCACTGTTTTTGTTTCCATTCTAGTGGTTTCATTGGATATCTCACTTTCGGTCAGCTGACAGTAAGTTGGTGGGGGAGGGGAAACTCTACCAGGCAGTGTACACCTTGCCTCTTCTAGGTATGTAATTTTGTAACATAAGTACATTTTTACTATGAGTCTACATTAAATAATATGTTTATTTCATATGTCACCTGGTTTTGGGGCTACATTCTAATAAATGACATGAACTCCATCCAAAGTGCAAACAATATATTATATATCCTTGATCTTGCTCTCCTTTACACTACCTGTTTCAGCCTCAAACGGCCATCATCAGGTGTATACACTCACGTTGCTGTTACACTGCACTTTGTTTAAAATTTAAAATTTAAAATTTAAAAACACATTGTTCCTTTCCTTGTTATTATCAACATCTACTTCGTTGATATCTGTCTGGTTTATAGATTATTTTTGTTACACACGTTAGCACTTATAAAATCTTTAGTTCTAATTTTAAAATCCTTTAAAATTTTTTATTCCCTAAATTTTAAAATTGTCAGGGTTACTCGCCCTATGTCTATAGTGCTGAAGCGGCTAGTTCTTGTTTCCAGCACTGTACAGGTGTTATTTTGTGTAGTCTCCCTGTGTGC